GATTTAGATTGAGAGTATCAAATCTAGTAAAGACAATTTTAGTTTCTTGGTATATGAAATTCTCCTCTTCTTCTATATAAATCTTTGTGTTCTTGTATAATCCATTATTTTCTCATTACTTATAATTATCATCTTTAATTATTTGGCCAGATTCTAAAAATTAGTATTAGAGCGATTTCGATATCTTGCTTGTTTCTAACACCCTTATTTCAAGGAAAAAAATGAAAATTTAATTATATACCAATAGCAGGTTTTGTATGTAATATTGAACAAAGTATAATGATTTTTTTTCCGTTTTGTTTTGGAAGAATTATTTCTAAGAATTGAATTTTTGAGAAATTATCATTTGCTGTAAGTTCTAAATTAGAAAAGTTGCCTACTTGTTTGGAAACTAAGTTTCACAATTCAAATGCAAGTAAATTTTGAGTAACTCGATAAGGCTAATTTAGTAAGTTAGTGTGAGTTCCACGTTCAAATTAGCGTGCGTAACAAAGTTATTTTAGGAATCAATAAACAAAATTCTCCCTTCAAACCCTTACTCCTATGAATTTAAAATGGTCTGTCTAATATAATTTTTTTCCCAAAGACTTCGAGGATTGTGAAATTCATGAATCCATTTGTTTTAACTATTTTCTTAGCTTTCCCTTTAGTGCTCTAATTAGGTTTTATAACTTTTATTTTTGTATATTTCTCTTTGAGCATATTCGGTATCTTCCTAGTAGCGTTCCTTCATAAATATAATAAATTTATACATTTGTCTAACATGTTTATTATTATTATTATTTTGAAAAGGTCCCATATTTTGCTAACGGCAATCCCAATAATTTCGTCTATTGATAAGTGTATTATATACACTTAATCGGAGTCTAAAATATTGATATTTGATAGTTTTTCTTAAAAAATATATCCTAAATTATTGAATTTTATATTATATAGGTAAAACTCAATGATTGAACGAGAAATCAAAAGAAAGAAGCGAAAATTGGTAAAAATTGATAAAATCCAAAGTTTAAGAACCAAATTGCAAATTCAATAATTCATTCAAACCACAAAATGATACTTTGAAGAGTTCTATAGGACAATTTGATGAAATTAGAATTTAAAAGGGAATGAAATATGATTAAAATCAATTTCCAATCGCACACGTTATATTCCAGACTTTTAGTCGAGGATTGAGACCCATTTTTGGTATATTAAACGTCTAAATTGGAAAAATTCTATTTAAATTAATGTTGTACCCCTTCGAATTAACTTTTCAAATCGCTTTGAATCAATTCAATCGGATATCAAAAGAGAAAGTTATGATTAAAATGCTGACTGTTGTGTATAGAAAAAAAATTCGCGCGCGAAAGCAACTTTTCTTATTCGATTGGGACTCTTTTGGAAGTCAATTTGGACATGATTTTCCACCAATATTTGACTCATACAAATACCTAACAGTAGAATACATATGGAAGACCTCTCATTTACATCTCATACTCCAATATTCATAAACTATTATCATTAAAGTAGGAAAATTCATAATTTTTGTGAGAGAATTGAATGGGATTTGCAAGAATTCAATCAAGTAAAGATTCAAACTTGATTTTTGGGTAAAGAAGAGAAGGCACGAGTGGAGATTCATCAAGAAACCATTAAAGAGATTCAAGATTCATTTTCATCTTCTCAATTTATAAAAAATTCGAGTTATGTCTTTTCACTTAAATATGATTTCTTGTAATTTCGATATGTTATGCTACTTTTATACATTGCTAAGATGAGATGAACCCTTGTTATTATATTTTTAGTTTTTAATTAATTATTTTGAATTTAATTTGATTTGATTTGTGGATATTTATTATCGTTTTTATCGTTCTTTTCAATTGTTTGATCACCAATTGAATTATTAGTGAATTTTACTGTTATCGAAAGAGAAATAGAGTTTAAGCACATTATCATAAATATTGTAAGTTTCAATAGAGTATAATGATATACATATATGCTTTATATGGTTTCAATAGGTGTTCTAGTACTTGTTTACGCATTTATAATGTTTGCACCTTTCATCGAGAAGTAAAATGTTCATATGAGGGGAATAAATTTGATCGCTATCGAGAGAGGCTTTCAATTAAATTAGGAATATTGATCAACATAAAAAATTTCAAATTATCACTTTAATTATTGCACTAAAAATGGAATAATAAGGGGGATTCGACATCTTAGTAATGCATTTCACATATTTGAAAAATACATTTATTTACTTTCATTAGTTTA